ACCTCGAAGCTAAAGGAGGGGGTGATGTTAGGGACGTAGTCTTTAGAACCTTCTAGAAACAAGTTTCTAGAATCTTCTAGAAGCAAGTCTCTGGAACCTTCTAGAAGCTTCCTAGTTGATAAAAGTTCCTTGAGAAGCTTCCTAAATAGGAATATATATTGGAATCGAGGCTGAAGAGTTCTTCAGTCTCGACAACACATCTCTTCGAGCTCTAGCTCACCTCTTTGGTGTTGTTCTTGTATTCATCTGATTAATCTAGTTCTTGCCAATTCTTCTTGAACTTCTTGTTAGATCTCGAGTCTGTATTTCTATGTCCGTGACATGCTGCAAATATAAACTATTTACATGTATTATTTTTATATTTGGTTTTTATTACTTATACTTAATAATTCAATAAAATATGTAAACACATTTTTGAATTGAAATCCATGGTGTATATAAAATATTTAAAGTTAGTTTATTAATTTTTCACTATTTAAAAACTACTTGTAACAACTTATAACACATTTATTAAAAATAAAATTAATAAAAATTAGATTATTTATATGTATGATATTTATAAAGCTTAAATATTTTTCAAAAAAATTAGTAATAAATAATAAAAAATATTTATATTTGTAATTAGACATCAATTATATGGTATATTAAATAAATCTTGTTGATTTGTATAAAAAAAGAATTGAAGCATAATTTTTAAAATTTATTTATATATTTCTTTTTCCTCTAATATTATATGTGAATTTATAAAAATTAATTTGATTTGGTTTGATTTAGACCAATTTCAAATTGTATTAAATAAAACTAAGAAAACATTATTTAAACCAAAGTATGGAGATTTAAATCCAATCCAACCAAGTCAAACCAACTATTTTTAAATTTTTATTTTTTAATAATACATAAACTACTAAGAGAAAATTTGAGGCCAAACCATGTCATAATTCATTTTATTATATGATGGTTTTATTTATTTTTTAATTTAATGTCAGTTTTTTTTTTAATAAATTAGCAATACAACAATATCATCTTATCTAGTCTAATTACTAAAGTTATCATATTGTATTTTTATAACCTTCAAAAGATATCTAGCATTAATATTGAGTAGAGTTTAAATCTTAATTATTTAAAAAGATTGAGAAAAAAAAACAACAAATTTTTGCTTAGAATATTGGTGCAGTAAGATTACTCCAACCTTAGTATGTAAGTTTTCCATTACCGTAAGCCTTCTCAAATAGAACCAACACAACATTGATGCTAATATAACTTATTGTAGTTTAATATGATAATAGATAAGTTTTGTAGAAATTAACCTACTAAGTAATAATGTCAATTTTTGACATTTGGATTTTTTCTATAATAACATAAATATTTATTTATTTTTATATCAACAATAGTTGCTTGACTTAACTTATTATTTGATAATAATAATAATAATAATAATAAAAACTAGTACTTAAATCTCATTCTTAGAAAATAAATGATTATTTGCAACAATCTCATTAATGTTTATATCATCATTTAACTGTTGTCATTTAATGATTGATATTTAAAAAATTAAACGTTTTTTTAATAAAGTCCATAATTTATTTAAAGTCCTTCCAATTCTTAGAATTCCATGTATTAAATTAAGCAATAATTTTTTTTATACTTAATTTAAGATAAATATTTTTAGTTATAAATATTAAATAATTGGAAGTATGAAAAATGCATATATAACTTTAATAAATAGATATAAGTATTATAAGATAAAAATGTGTCAAAAATTTTTTTTTTCAAGAAATATTACAGAAGTTTTTTAGTCAAAAAAAAATCTTCAACTTCTTTTAAATATGCAAAATGAATATTGTGTAATATCCTAGAAGTATTTTTATTTTTAAAAAGTCATGTTGAAAGCAACTGAGAATTTATATTCTTGGCCACAAGCCTTGTGGTTTCTCAAAAGCTTCAACAAGATCTTTTTGGTAGATAGTACATAAAAACATACGACTAAGGTCATTTGCAATCTTATTAACACTTTATTAGTGTTCTAGTCTTAAACAAAGACTTTCTAATTTATTTGTATTTGACAATAGCCATCTCAGTCTTTTACATCTTATATCTATCTATTTATTTTTTATTTTTTATTTTTTTATTTTATTTTTTGAATGACACATAAATATTTTGTCATTTTACAATCCTATTTAGATATATGTCTTGAATAATTTGACAATATTGACCTTCATAATAACGTAACTTGATCTTTCTTGATAAAGAGAAGATTATCTTCTTTTAAATTAATATTACTTTTGTTGTACCAATTTTTTTCTCCTCTGTCTCAAGTACAAATTTTCAAGTTTTTGGAAGTATATTAAGACTAATAGAGATGAAGAAGGTCAAAGTATAAATGTTGGAATAAATAAAAAAATAAAAAAAATTATAAATCATTTTTTTACTATTTTTTCTACCAAAAATAGGTATAATAAATTGGGATACATAACAAGACTTATAACTTATTATCAAATTTTAGATAAAAGAGTTGTTATTCTTTCAAAATAATCTATTACAAAAAAGACTTCATATTGGCATCATAATATAAATAATAAATCTATTTCCAAAGTTCAAAAATTAATAAAGTAAAATTTGATTCTAATTTATATTTAAAAAAATCACATACAAGTAATATAATAAATTGATATAAATTATATCTATTAATATCATGGTTTTTTTTAGCAAATAAGTGTTTTAAATAATTTTTTATTAAGAACAAGAGTAATTATTTGATTGTATTTTATTGGAATATTTATGTAAAGTAGATATAATTAAAATAGTAAAGCAACACAACTACATACTAATAAATCATAAAAAAACACAAATTAAAAAGAATAAAAATACAAACTTAACATTAACTTCAATCAACATATAATTACATAAAAGAAATATTTGAGTGATAGAGATGGATAGTTACATTTTAAATAGTGTTTATAGTTAAAACACGCAGCTCAAATTCCTGCATCGATCTGCACCGTCTAGACACCGAGCAAGACAAAAATAAAGCATTCCCATATTTAAGCTACATCCAGCCAAGGTAAATACGTTCACACCTTGTGCGAGCTGTGAATGGTATTCAAAAGAAACATTCACGTAACTGAGTGGGTTAAGTATGTATGTATATATATATATATATATATATATATATAAGTAATCTTCATTCCTAATTGCCTTGATTAGTTCCAGTTTCGCAAGGAGATCAAGTTGCTGTGGCACCAACCTGTAGAAACGGCGGTTGGATTCACCGGGCACCCATACTCACATCCACGCACAGTAAATGAAGGGATTGAATTGTGGATCAGAGACGAGAAGGGCATGACATGTGAGTGGAGTGGAGTGGTGTGTGGGGACTAGACTGGAGGCAGTGAAGGGACTAACTGGGGGCAGTGAGTGAGTGAGAGAGAGAGAGAGCGAGAGAAAGAGAGTGAGAGTAGGGGAGTTAACGCGGTGAGCTACAACAACAGGAGCGGGAGTCGGTGATGCAGGCCCCAGATCTAGAATAAACAATACACACCAGTCATGTGAGACTAGGACGGTGACAAAGCTGCTGCTGCAGCCACCGCGGTCCCTTCACTTTTTTACGTGAACTTCGTCGAAAATATCCAATACAATATGCCGATCCGTCTGAAATTAGAGCCTATGCTGCACGAACATTCATACCACAACCATCCGGCGGATCGCGCTCGTGTCCAGCGAAGCCTACACGTCGTGATTCCTACGCTTAATCAGTTTCATGCTCATAGAGGGCTTGCTTTCATTGTGCTCATTGCTCGAAGTATGTGCCGTTAAGGCCCGGAAACATGGCGTACCTCATGGGGTCGTCTATCTTCGTAGCGGTTGCAGGAACAGTATCTAGATCCTCGTGACTGCCACAGTAAAAGTGCACATGTCTCTGGTGGCCTTGTAAGCGAGCATTGCTTATCCTTCGGGTTTTAAACTTCGGATAATTTGACAGTGTCGGGTTTGAACCAAGCTGATGGGAAATGACCGCAAACCGCCCAATAGATACTCTAGACATCCCCCGAGACTGGCAACAGCAAGCCCGAGAATTTGGACGTACATGCAACATGCACGGCGTTCGATTCCAGAGAACAGTGTTTCGTGAGTAGCGTTTCTTAGCATTTCTCTAGAGGGTAATAATAGGGTGGGGAATCTGATAAGCTTCGCGGCCGCGTCCAACATCCGATTCGATTTCAGGGTCAGCTTGATTACCACCCAATTCTTCACCGCAAGTGGAGGTTCATATACTCAGTAAAGTCTTGCTCAGTCACGAGACGTCCACCAGCGCAACGTGTTCAGTGCTTACCGGGCGCGAAAAGATGGCTCCTGGAGGTGGTCAACGAGTTTAACGACCGTGAATTAAAATTCCCGGATTGTAGCCCATTCAGCACCTTCCACGGGCCTGACCTTGACAGTTCATTTATCTCACAATCAAATCAACAGATTCGGAGAATTATAAGCAACCATTGGCGCCGTCCCATTCTGGTACACCACTGCTTACCGCCTAGGGATAAACCCATAGAAGATTGAACCCGAAAAGGTATCTTTGAGTTCACACGAGGAGAAGTGTAGGGAGATGCGGTTCGCTTGGAAATGCGGCCAGATTGGCTGCATGAAGTCGTAGAGTGCAAGCACAAGGGGGTAAAAATAATTAGAATATCGGAGAAACCACTTGCCTTAGAGAGGCTGCCACTGGTGCGTCCAGAAGCCAACTTGCGAGAGGGCAGTTTAAATGGGGGCCTCTGGGTTTACTCAAGGTCTATGTGGAGCAATTTGATTCAATCCCTCTCTGCCCAAGACGCTGGATCCTCCCCAACTGGAGACACTTTTTCAGGTGCTTCGATATTCCTGGCCTGTCCTCATCTTCGTCAAATCCCCTTCCCTCTTGCACTTTATCATCGCGTTAGCCGCACCACCACCTCGCAAGCTCCGCACCTTGCGTAGACCTTGGCAGGAAGGAGGTGTCAAGCTGAAAAGCAGTATTGATCCCTATTCCTTTGGACCTGCAGGAACCTTCGTCACTGATCTCTCGGTACCCTCATCACTCCTGTCAGATCGGGGACTCAATATCATATCTTCATAATTTTTCATTGTCGGTCCACATATCCGTTTACTTCGCTGCCCTCTCTACCGCTGGGAGCAGGCTTTCTGGCATTCTCCGGGTTCTTAAAGGCTCCAGCTGCGAAACGATGCAGTTCACTGTGTACGTTGGTTTTGCGTGTTTTGTTTGTGGGGATCAGGTTTCACAAGGATGGACATTAGTTGTAGCGAAAGGTGATTGACGGAGCGAAATAGCGAGGGTCACAGGAGCTTTGATCTGAACTTGGAAGATATGAGGTATAGAAACTTTGTTGCTTTCCCAGCACGGATGGGGGACCATCAGCTTTGAGTAGGAAGCTGCACATAGTGATCCGATCCTTGTTTGTAAAATAAGTCTACAAAATTGATTCACACTGCTTTTTTAGAGAATCAGTGTATTAGGGCTGTCGTTCGAATGATTTAGTTTGTTCTATCCCTTGGTATTAGCGCTGTTTTTTGAATCCCACTAAGGCCAATACACTCTCAAATCATTTATTCAGCGTCGCGAGTAGGATTTTCGATGCAGGAAGGAGACGAGTTGATCGATTAGACTGCGTTGCAGCAATCTTTCGTTTGATGGAACTTCGATACATTTACATCTATGTAGTTCGCAAATTGACGCCGAATACTACGCTTTCGATGATGTAGACGCACCTTGGATTGACATTTGCGAACTGGTTGACAGTGTAGAGCTCACAACTTGAGCTGGAATTAAAACCTACAACTAATTAGTATGTCTTGCCTATTCTTACTGTTTTTGAATTTTAGCGAAACCTTAAGTAATAGCTGGCTCACATTGAGTTTCTGAATGGCAGTGGCTTGATAACGTTCGCAAGTTTGCCTGGGGTGCGCATCGTTGCCGGTTAGAGGGAGTGGCAAGAGATTCAAGCTTTGACAACGAAAATGGATGAGCTACCATCACTCCTAGAGGTACACAATGTCCGAATAGTTGGAATGGGCGAGGAGCTGGTGGTTCTGGCCCACGGGTTTGGCACAGATCAATCCGTGTGGAAACACGTCATTCCTCATCTTGTAGACGATTACCGCGTGATTCTCTTCGATAACATGGGAGCTGGCACCACCGACCCGGAGTATTTTAGCTTCTCGAGATATTCTACGCTGTATGGATATGCTGATGACCTTCTCACAATTTTGGACGAACTGGAGGTGCAATCTTGCATTTTCGTTGGACACTCGGTGTCAGGCATGGTTGGCTGCCTTGCCTCACTGTACAGACCGGAAATATTCTCGAAAATTATCACTATCTCCGCTTCTCCTAGGTATGTCGTCATCATAATTTTGTGTCCAACTTCAGTAACCTCTGGACCATTTGCTATTAGTCGGCTCATCACTGACATGATTTAGAATTTGTGCAGATACCTGAATGATATGGATTACTTTGGAGGTTTTGAGCAAGAAGATCTTAACCAACTTTTCGAGGCGATGCAGTCCAATTTCAAGGCCTGGGTCTCAGGATTCGCGCCCTTGGCTGTAGGAGCAGATATTGATTCCATGGCAGTTCAGGAGTTTGGTAGGACGCTATTCAATATTCGACCCGACATAGCATTTAGCGTGGCGAAAACAATCTTCCAGAGCGACCTGAGGAGCATTCTACCAAAGGTAAACCTAATGCCTCATGCAATCCAACTGAATAAGATAAGATGTGAAATATGTGAGCGGTTTTCAGTAATATCATGACTAGTTCTTCACTATTGCAGGTGACTGTGCCATGCCATATTTTACAAAGCAGCAAGGATCTGGCGGTGCCAGTGGTAGTGGCGGACTACCTGCATCTTACTCTTGGAGGTCCCACGATAGTTGAGGTGCTGCCAACAGAAGGTCATTTGCCGCAGCTAAGTTCCCCCGACATCGTGATCCCTGTCCTGAAACGCCACGTCGCTGGGAATCTGGAGTCTTGTTGAGACTTTTCTCGCGAATGATTAAGTGGACGAACACTTGATCAAAACTTTCATATCATGAGTTTTTAAGCTCTGCCTGGCATTTCACCAATATTTGATTTTGAAGGCGATTTGAGATTGAATCAGCTTTTGCTTTGTTTGAAGACGCGTGTGGGGATTGATCCTACGAATGGAGTCTTTGGGCTCCACCAGATTTTCCACTGGAATTGTGAAGCTCTGCTTGACCTCCTCTAAAGTTGGAAGTTGAATTTGAAGCTAACCATCGTGCGAGGGGATGATCTTGTTTGTTAGCGAGTGCTGCGTGTGCATTCGACATCATGGGATAATGAATGCATGCTGCAAACTCGTCTAATTATATATACATAACTATATGCAATGGCACGAACACTAAACGGAACCCAGCAGCTCTGTATCGTGGCGAGAACTGTCTATTGTGATTCTTCATGGAATGGGTCACGAAAACTGCGACGATTTTTTTCATTCCAGCGCTCCTGCCTGCTGGTCAGGGAGCCAGGAATTAGTTCACATACAAGAAGAGTTGTTTAGGAATTTTCTTTAGGGGATAATGGTCCGATTGTTGCAACTCTTTGCTCTCCAGACCTGCTCCTAAAGAACTACTAGGGTTTGAAATGACAGAATTGGCAGATGAAGAACATGCGAAACCAGCTTGTTCTCTATGCTACACCTTTTTCTGGGATCTTCCCGTTGATGTACATCAACTAGTGACAGTATGTTTCAGTTATCGTTAGTTTGTGATGGACTCTCTGTAATAGACTGCACATGTTAAGAGGAAGTGACGCACTGAATCCGTGCAAGCTGTTACTGAGGAGGTGAATATATTTGGCCGCTCGCTTATATTTGTTTCTTTATTCTCTCGTTTTGTTTATCTTGGTATGATCTACTCTTCTCGTTCTTCAATAAATTACTAGTGAGCAGGATGCCTCTTACTCTGAGTGCGATTTGTGGTTATCCTGCGATAGTTGAATGAACACGAACCACTTCTGGCATTTTAGTCTAATATCCAGTCGAACACCACATATCAACGAAGGCGGAATACAAACTACTAGTATCCTACTACTCCACCTTGTTTCTCCCAGGTCTCCGGCAGAAAAGAGTTGTACCGTTAACCAAATGGATTGCACATTAGAGACAGGTGTTAAACCTAGACATCTTGTTTGGTTCATCGCATCATTGTCCACAAGAGCTCAGCGATGTGTGGATATCGATAAAAGTTCGTGGTCATCGACCCAAGCTGGATTACAAGTCTGCACCTTATCTTAGTGAACAGGTCCCAGCCAACCTTTGTCATCTCAGTATCTTCCACGTCACAGAGAATATCCTGAAGCATTCTTCCTCGATGTGAGCCGACGTTGAGAACGTTGATTGGAATGCGACGCACCGACTTGTAATCTGCACCCTTGATGCGTGCGATACCTCGAGAACTGGTGACAACTAGAACAGGCGCCATTCCGTTCTTTAATGCTCGTTTCAACTTTGCGAAACATTCGATGCAAGGCGTAAGTATTTCATGTACGAAGAGAACAACCGGTCTGATCGCTGCTTGGCCTACTTATTGGCAATGACATTCTCGTGCTGCACTTTGTACTTCCCGACAGACTGTACCACTTTCTGCTTGCCACTCTTTAGTCTAGATTGCTCAGACATACAGCTTCGAGCTGCGATCCAATTGCACTCCCACTGGAAAAGATGAAACACATGTTTGTGATACACTTGTGAGCATCTACTGCTCCTGGTAACTTGTGCTAACTCCTAAGCCCATGTCGTCGGCAAAGCAAGGATCGATGACTTGGAAACGTATAGAAAAGACATAGAAAATCACCCAGTTGAAGCTTCGCTTTCAGAACAAATCATTCTCCTCTTGTATCATGTTCCTTTCTATTTGTAAGACCTGTTTAGAGGGCAAACAGAGTTGGAAGAAAATTCCAAAAGAATCCAAGCATAGGTCCTCAAATATCTTAACATTGATCCATTCTGACTTTTGTGGACCGTTCAGAATCAAATCTTTGGGAGGAGCTCATTACTTTGTGACATTTATAGATGATTTCTTGAAAAAAATTGGACCTACTTTATGAGCCATAAGAGTGAAAAGTTGAACAAGTTCAATATATTTAAAGCCAAAGTAGAAAATGCCACCAAACATAAGATTCAATCCATTTGGTGTGATAACAAAGGTGAATATATTTTTGAAGGCATTTACCAATTTTTGTGAAGATTCCAACATCATCACGAATTTTACACAAATCTACAATCCATACCAAAATGATGTCACCAAATGCAGTAATTGATCATTATTAGATATTGTATGTTGCATTTTATTTGAAAAAAAGTTGCTTGCAATCTACTAGACAAAAGTTATAAGAGTGGCCACCATTATTTTAAATCTACTATCCACCAAAGGCAACTTGGACAAAATACCAAATAAATTATTATTTGGTAAGAAACCACATATCTCCAAACTTTGTATTTTTAGCTTCGTAGAATATGTTCACACACCATCTATGAAAAGATTGAAATTAGATTACAATACTTAGTAATGCATGTTGCTTAGTTGTAATAATAAGGTAAAAGGATATAGATGTTATTACTTGAGTAAGTACCAAATTATTGTACTAGGTGATATAAAGATACTAAAATTTCATAAAATCAATATTGGACTTAATAAAACACTTGAATAAATGATTATGAAGGAACCACCACTACTAGCCATAAGTTGTGAATCAATACGAAGCTCAAGCTACTATGACAATTTATCCAATTTGGATGTACCAAATTCACCCTTAGCCGAGTCCCTATCCAATACACATACATCACTTTCATCTATATCACATATTGTAGTCAATTTTGAGAATTTCCAATTTAATACTTGCAATGAGATTGATGGCTTCTAGCTTATTTTGATGACTTTGTTGCTTTCTTTGAGATTTTTGCTGATATTATGGAAAATGGTGAAAATTTGATTTTTTAAGAAATTGTACAAAACTTGTATTAGCGTATTTCAATTGAATCAAAATACAAATCTATCTAAAAAAATTATACATAGAGCTTAATAAAATTTCTTTAGAAAAAAAATCCAATAACTTTACAATAGATTTTCAAGTTCAAACCAAAATAAATAATAAATTTATCCATTATAGACTCAATTAATTACATGCAAATTCCAGCAAATACACAACATTGATTATTAATAAGTTTTAGCACATGTTGCTAGATAAGAATCATTTCATACTATTAATAATATTATACCTCATAACAAATAAGAAATCCACCTAATGGACATCCAAACGACTTTTTGTGAAAGGCCATTTAGATGAGGAGGTTTGTCTTGAATAATCTGAAAGATTTGCCATCCTCAAACAAGAATACAAAGTGTGTCATCTTCATTATGCACTCTACAAGCTCAAGTAGAACCAAAAGCCTAATATGCTTATATAGATCATTATCTTTGTAGCAAAGACATGCACAAGTCCAATACTAATTCTAATGTTTATTATTGATATGGTAACAATGTCATTGTCTTCTTCTTTTTATATATTGATGATTACAAAATAATCAAGAGTTTACCTCACCTCATTATCAAACTCAAGCAATAGCTTAATAGAAAATTTGCAATGATTGCCTTAAGTTCCATCTGCAAATTTTTAGACATCCAATATACTTGTATTCTAGTAGGGCTCTTACTTCACCAATCAAATTATACACTACAATTTTTCAAGAATTTTAACATAAAAGCATTTTATTAAACATATATTTCCATCAATCAAAGTTTGAAGCTTTTAAAAGAAATTAACACATTGCTATGTGATACAAAATTATATTATGCCATGATTGGTGAGCTTCAATGACTCATAAATATCTATCTAAATATTATATTAAGAATTAGCAAATACAGTTGATATATCAATGGTTTGTAAGAAGCCTATTTACATGCTTGTCTTAGAATTTAATTGTACATCAAATGGTACCTCTTGCTTGGTATCTTTTTCAAAATTAGAAAAGACAACCATTTCTTAAGATATTCAAATATAAATTATATGCGAGACCTTGATGATTGTATCTAAACTTTAGCTTATTTTTTTATTTTAAGAAATATATTTGTATTTTGGTACTCTTGCAAATAAATATTAATAACATGATTTTCTTATGAATTAGAATACTGTGCCTTAGCAAATTGTATGTATGAAGCCATTTGGCTTAAGAGGTTTCTTTTAAAAATTTCATGTTTGAGGTACTGAATCTATTGATATTGTATGCAATAATCAAAGTAGAATTAAGATTATATATAATTTAATATTCTAAGATAAAATCAATTATTTTGAGACAAATAGATACTTCACTAGATTAAAAATAGACTTTGAAGAAATTAGGATTATTTAAATTAATACTAAAGATCAACATGTAAGTATGTTAACAATGCCATCATATATAACAAAGTTTGAAATTAGAAAAAATAGGCTAAATCTTTGAAGTCTAGCTACTATTACTCTTACAAATTAGCTTAAACTTTAAAGCTATTATATAAACCTCTCAACTTCTTTTTTTTCTTTTAAAAGCCTTAAACATTGATCTACTAAAATATTTCACTATCTCCTAACACTCACTTTTTATACTATAGATATAAGGTCAAAATCCTCTTTTAATTGCATAGAATTTAGTAGTCTATTAAACATCAAGATTCTTTCTTCTTTTGGATCTTATTGAATAAAATGATAATATTATATTACATGTATTCTTGCTTAAGAATGCATTAGATACCTAGTTGTAGAAGATAAGTAGAATGCAACAACAATTCTATTAGGTCTAATAGAGTCTTAAATAAACTTTAAATAATCTTTACCAATCTTAATCAAATTTTAATTAATGCAAGTAAATTTTAAAAAAAAATTCAAAAGAAATATAAAGACGTGATGAATTAATTTTAAAAAAATAACAAAGAAATCATAAAAAAATAAAAAAATAAACCTTTAGAGAAATAATAATAAAATTTTAAAAAATACTAAAAATAAAATAAAAAATACTAAAAATAAAAATCTTAAATAAATTTTAATCAAATCTTAATTTAATCTTATTTAGAATTTAAAATCCTAATGAATCTTAATTAAATTTTAGGTCAAATCCTAATTAAATCTTAATTAAATTCTAATAAAATCCTAAACCTTAGACCAACACTAATTAAACTTTAATAAAATCTTAGTCAAATTTTAATCAAATTCAAACAAAATCTTAAATCCTAATTAAATTCTAAATAAATCTTAAATTCTAATTATATTCTAAATAATTTCTAATAAAAGCTTAGACCTTAAATCAATTCTAATCAATCTTTAATCAAATCCTAAAAACTAAGTTAATAACATGCATAAAATAATTGAAGAAGATTACATATAATAAATAGATAATAATTCCAAAATCCTATTCAAGGGTCAATTGACTTCTTTTTTAAACCTTTATGTTGGTATTTTTAAGCCATTATTTCTTAATTTCACAATTAAAATTATTCCAAAAATTTCATAATTTTTTGAAATCAAGCTAACTACTTTTGAGAAAAATTATATTTTAATCGAATTGGCGGATTGATAGATATCTTAGAAATTATCAAGGATTCTTTAAATCTCAATTTTTGAGACTACAACCTATAAAATCCTTATATGCTTCATTTTAACTGCTTTATTAACCTTAAATTTTATATACATATTTATAACATAAAAAAAAATTAATTTTTACTTATAAATACACTAAAAAATTCATCAAATTTTAAAATTTGTAAACTTGTTTTTATTTTTCAAAATCCAAATCCACCAAATACATCAAAAACTTTGAAAATCCCTCAAAATTTCAATATTAATCCAAATGA